TATAATCTCTTTATATGCATTGGACTTTGATCTCTAATTTGAATAAATTATCCTTGACTTGCATAACGCCGACTTTTTGATCTATTTTCCATCTGGCCTGTAACCGCCCATACTGAAACCATGATTGAATTGCCTTTTCTTCTTTTAGTACATTCAAAGGTTTTAACTGTAATATACTTTTTTTTTTAAGGTAAGAAGCTGTCTGTATGTAATCATATCCTGTTTTTGTACTATATTTATATCTTCTATTGCGTGTCTAGGAATTGCCCACATGGGGGTATCTTATCACATAATTTATATTGATATTTGTTCCAGACACGCAATAGAGCATTCCTTAAAATATGACTTTTAAAGTTCTTATCTACCTTTTTGTTATATAACAAATAAGCATGCCGTCCATATACCAAATCACGCCCTTCGATATTAAGTATTCCGTCATCTGTTAATTTAAACCAATCACTAATTACCGATAAAACTACTGCTTCAAAGCATAGTTTTAAATTGGGTAATTTCAAGCCTCCTCTCTCACGCACATCTTGCATTATTTTTAGTTTTATTCTCGGCTTCTTTCCTGCCCATCCAAATTTATCCCGGTGAGCCGCTTGTTTTTGAAGGCAAGAAGAGGACCCCCTCCTTGGCAGCCTGGAGATGGAGAGAGGCTGCCTCCCCTCCTCTCTGGCCCCCACCCCCAGCAAAGACCGGGGCTTCCCTGGGGGAGGAACTTCCTCCTCTCTTGCAGGACAAGAGTTAAGCACCTCATCCTCCTGTCCTCCCCTCTGGCCCAGTGCAAAAGGTCTGCTGGAGGAGGAGGATGGGAGTTGTAGTCCAGCAGGAGGTCTGGAGAGCCTGGTTCAAGGGTGGTCTTTGTGGCAGGGTGAGTCCAGACCCTCCCACTCTGGCTCGGAGCCCCTTCACGGAGGATGAATGTCACTTTGCAGAGGTTTTTCCACCATTTTTGCCCATTCTTAACTTGGCAAAGGCTACGGAAGAGAAGAAAGACCCTTTGCTGGAAGCTCTTTTCCTGCAGGAGACCCCCTTTCATTCTCGCCTCTTCCCCCCTCGTGGGCAAGCTGGAATCAAGGGGTTTGAGAGCCCCTTTTGGGGAAGCCCTCCCCTTCCTCAAATTCTGGGAGTTGAAATCCACAGGCCTTAAAGTTCCCCAGGTGGGCACCCTCCTCCCAGGGGACTTCAGGCAAACGGCTGTCCAAGCTTTTATTGGAAACCTCCAGTCTTCCGAGGGGGCTTTCAGTCTTCGGGTGGCCCCAGTGGCTAAGCCAGCAGTTGCCCAGGAGGTGGCCTGGGCTCACCAGAGCCTCGAAAGCCGCCCCCTCGGGGATCCTGTTAGCCCAGCTCAAGGTCTCTGCCAAGGGCTGCCGGGATGGAGGCGTGGCCCTCGCGTGTCCACCTTCCCAACTGGGGCTGCCCAGAGGTCTACAGACCAAGCCGCTGCTGCCGCCGGAGGGAGAAGCTGGCTGAGCAGCCGCGGGAAGCACCGGGTCCCTCCTGGCCGGGCCCAGCCCTTCTCCCTGACGGAGGCTGCAGCCTGTGTGGCTGTGTGGTCAGGTGAGCCCAGGTGGGCTGGGCAGGAAGGAAGGGAAAGTGGAAGTGAGGCTGCCTGAAGCTCTGCAAACACGAAAGGGAAGGTTGGGCTCTCCTGGGCGCCTGAACCTGCCTCCATGGAGCCCCCCAGGGGGAGGTAAGGGGGCCGGGGCTCCTCAGCAGGGCTGACCCACAGTGGGAGCTGCCACTCTTCTTGCTGGACTTCTGCAATTCTTCCTTCGGTTTTCTCCTTTCCCCTTGGGGGGGGGGTCTCTGTCGAGGCGGAGGATCTGGCCTTTGCCCCCCTCTCTCCGTCCTGCCCTCTTTCGCCTTCTTCCTCAAGGCCCCCTCCTTGCAGTCTTAATGGCCAGGCCCCCATTCACAGGGCCAGCTGCTCCTGCCCAGGAGACGACGGGGGTGGGGGGGGCACAGGCACTTTGGATTGCCGAGAACGGCTTCGGCTGTCAGAAGGGTCTGCCAGAAGTTGGCCTCCCCCCCACCTCCTCCAGAAGGAGGGGGAGAGGACAGGAAAGGGGGGTTCGTGCGGCTGAAGGGGGCAGTGGCACAGAGAGGGGGAGCAAAGGAACAGGTGACGTGGCTGGCACCCGTCCCTGCGTGCCCCCTCCGCCGCTGGCTCTGTGGGTCAGGAGTCCATGGGAGGGTGGAGCGTCCACAGCTCACCTTTGCCAGCCGCCCTGCCTCAAAAGTTTTTCCAAGGTGGGGCTGGTAAACCCCTGAGCCCCGTCCGGCTCTGGGCTCTCTGCGGGGGCCACTGTGGGGTCCTGGGTGGGCCACTCTGCTCCCTGCCTGCATTTCCCCCCCAATCCTCAAGCCTTCCACTCGCCCCACTCCTTGCAATGCCGTCCGTGGCCCTTTCCCTGGGGGTGTTTCCAGTCAGCCGGGCCCCTCCCGCTTCCTTTAACCCGACTGTCCCGGTGCCTGCTTGCTTTGGGTGGAGCCCACGGCTGTCAATTATAAACCTCCTTTTATGGCCCTGGGCTGCGTAAACACAGCTGAGGATTCGAAGCAACCGGCGCCCTGGTCCCATATCGGAGTCTGGCCCCAGGATTTGGAGGTGGGGGTGCTGGGATGTCCCTTCCAAGGTCTCTTGTGTCAAGTGGGGCCCCCTGAGGGCATCCAGGCAATTCTTGGCATCCGTGGCTGAGCATCGCTTCTTCTCCTCCGCAGGGCCCAGGGAAGGCAGCCGTCATGCCGGTCCTCAAGAACCCCCATCAGCTGAAGGCGGCCGGCAGAGGCCCCGGGGACGGAGGCGGGGGCGGCAGCTGCAGCGGGACACTGATCCTGGCTGAGGAGAGCCCGGGGGCCAACCCTTTTGAGGAGGACCTGGAGGAGAACGAGGAGGACTCCTTCCTCGGGGGCATCTCTCCCGGTCGAGAGAGGACCTTCCCGGGGGGGAACAGGGCAGACTTTGAGCGGGGCCTCTTCAGCGGCAGCTCCGGGGACCCCTTCAGGCGCCGGGCCACCCTGGAGAAGCTGGTGGGGCTGAGCCCCTTCCGCCTGAGCAGGAGCCGCAAGAGCGGGGAGAAGCGCTCACCCGGGGGCGAGCAGGGCTCTGACCAGCGCTCCTTCCTGGAGCGCATGAGGCTGCCCCTGATGGAGGGCAACCCAGGCCAGCGGGGGACCGAGAAGAAGAAGACGCGTCGCTGCTCGGACGACTTCAGCCTGCTGCAGCGGCTGAACGGGCGCCGCAAGGAAGCCCTCTGCGGCTCGGACTGCAGCCCGACGGAGGAGAACGGTGGGGGGGACGCTGCCAAGCGCGGCTCCTTCCTGAAGATCGGGCTGGGGAGTAAGGTGCGCCGGACATCCCTGGTGGAGAAGTCCAACCAGGCGGAGGGCTCGGAGGCGGCCCCGGCGGCCGAGAAGAGTGAGCCTAAGCCCAAGGAGCCGCTCTCGGGTGAGTCTGGCCTGACTGGACCAAACTGGGAGCCCCTCTTGGCCCCCTGGCAAGGGAAGCCCTCATGGGGTGGGTGGAGAGAATGCCTAATCTGGGGACCTGCTGGGGGGTCCCGATTGCCCTGAAGGCCTCCCCCCAGCCTCCAGTGCACTTCTGCCCCTGCTTGTGTAGGGAAATGTCTGGGCAGGCCGGTTGTGTAGAATTCCATCCCCCAGCGAGCTCAGTTCAGTCCGAGGCAGCCGGAGGGGGACCAGCCAGGAGCCAAACAGGACTCCTGGCCAGGGTGGCCAAACGGGCTCTCCAGCCGTCCTTCTGAGGCCCTCGGGGGCCCTCAGGGTCAACCCCTGCCTGCCTGCAGCACTGAGCATCTATTATTTGCACTTCGTCTCTTCCTGCTCTCAGCCACACGGAGCAGAAGGGCCGGCTGCGTCCATACAAGACCACCGGGGGGCCACGCAGGGCTGCCCACCGGCAGGGGAAGGCCTGGTGGGGGCACGGAGGGGACCCCCTCAGCCTCAGTCGGCTGCCTCCTCTTAACAATCCCACACGCGGTGCGAGGAATCCCCGGCCCCCACCGCGCTGCAGGCTTCCTTGTGGCGGTTGGAGGGTTGGAGAGGAAATGGGCCCAAATCAGAGGCCCCGGTTGGTTGTTTCCTTTCTTCGTGCCCCCCTTCCCCAGAGTCCGGGCCCTTCACAGCAGCCCCAGGCCGGCAGGACAGCAGTTCATTTACTGACCATTCAAAGTTACAACAGGGCTGAAAAAAGGGACTGAAGGTTGTTTCTCACAGCTGAGACCTTTGCGGCCTCCCCGCAGACACAGCGTCCAAATTCAGAGGCTCGGCAGCTGGCCCGTACTTACGACGGTCGCAGGGATCCCTTTTGCGACCGTCTAGTTAGGCAAAGCCTTTGGGGAAGCCGGGTTCGCTTAACAACGGGCTTAGTAACTTATCAACTTGTAAAAGGTTGTGAGCGGAGGCAAAACTCATTCAAGAAGTGTCTCGCTTAGCAACATAAAATTTGGGCTCGATTGTGGTCGTAGGTTGAGGACTGCCTATGTGATTTAAAGAAACCAGAAAGCCCCCCCCCCTTCCTTCCAAGGGAGGGTGGGCCGTGAGGAAGATCACCTGATGGCCCCCCTCCCCCCCAGGGGCCTCTCCCTGCACTGGGGGTCCCGCCTGAGCCCCTGTGCTGCCGAAGCCGGAGAACCCCCGGGGGGCCCTGCTTGCCCGCTCCCTGCCTTCCTCGGGAGAAGAAGGGCTGGCTGTGGCCCTTCCCAGCCTCCCCCCAACCTCCGGACGGACGGACAGAGGGGGGGAGGAGCGCTGGGCGCCTCTGACCTTGGCCAGGCTGTTTATCAGGCCGGCTAATGAGCGTCTCTTCCCTTTGTGCACAT